CAATGATAGTAAGGAAACCTTCCGGGCAGGGCATGGTGGCAGGTGCTTCTAATCCCAGCTACTCGGGAGGCTGAGACAGAATTGCCTGAACCCGGGAGGCAGAGGTTGCAGTCAGCTGAGATCGTGCCACTGCACTACACAGCCTGGGTTACAGACCGAGACTCTGCCTCAAAAAAATGAAAAAAGAAAGAAAATGCAGACAGAATTCCAACCAAGCTCTGTCTTCAGATCCTATTAACTGCCATGTTATATGGTCTGCCCGCCCCTAGAATGTAAAAGAGTTTACAGCTAAGGCCCTCTTTCAGGGGAGCCCAAAGTAACAGAGGTCAGATATTGTGTCTTAGCTATCTGTGTGTCCTCAGTGCCTAGGACACTGCCTGCCATGTGATAGGAACTCAGAATGTTTGTCCAGCTGCTTAACTCTGCATGGAACATGGCATATAGAATTAAATGAATCCTCCAGTTGTAGAGTCTATTTTCTACTTGTATCACAATTTATTTATTTATTTATTTATTTATTTATTTATTTATTTATTTATTGAGATGGCGTCTCAACTCTGTTGCCCAGGCTGGATCGCAGTGGTGCAATCTTGGCTCACTGCAACCTATGCTTCCCAGGTTTGATGGGTACTCTGGTCTCGACCTCCCAACGTGCCTGGCTAAATTTTTTTTTTTTTTTTTTTTGCGACGGAGTTTCGCTCTTGTTACCCAGGCTGGAGTGCAATGGTGAGATCTCGGCTCACCGCAACCTCCGCCTCCTGGGTTCAAGCAATTCTCCTGCCTCAGCCTCTCCAGTAGCTGGGACTACAGGTGTGCGCCACCATGCCCAGCTAATTTTTGTATTTTCAGTAGAGAAGGGGTTTCACCATGTTGACCAGGATGGTCTCGATTTCTTGACCTCGTGATCCACCCGCCTCAGCCCCGCAAAGTGCTGGGATTATAGGCGTGAGCCACCGTGCCTGGCCAATTTTCGCATTTTTAAAAAAACTTTGTAATAGGTTTTTATTTTTGCATTATATCTATTACAGTGTTTGAAACCTAAAGAAATACATTTTCTCTTCAAATTTGGATGTACGTATAAATATTTGTCTGGACTCAGCACACTCAATACCATGATTTCTTGGCCAATGTCTGCTCTGAAATCAAGCTACAGCTACCCAAGGGCCCTGAGAACATGGAAAATAGAGTTTATAGTTATTAGAAAAATAAAAGCAAATGAATTTGCAAAGAAAAACCAGTCAGGAGGATTTGATTCATCTTCCAAGGGTCCAAAGCTGGTAACCCAAGTCATTCTTGGGGGATATCCAGTTTCTTGAGTGGCTTGGACTCCATACCCTTTCCCTCTTTAATAGGTTAATCAAAGGCAATTCCCACAAAAGCTGGCTTAAAAAACCAGTACCTAACTCCGGAGTCTGAGGGCTCATGAATTTTTTTTTTTTTTTTTTTAAGACAGAGTCTCGCCCTGTCACCCAGGTGGGAGTGCAGTGGTGCGATCTTGGCTCACTGCAACCTTTGCCTCCTGGTTCAAGAGATTCACCTCCCGTGTAGCTGGGATTACAGGCACCTGCCAGCGCGCCTAATTTTTTTTTTTTTTTTTTTGGTATTTTTAGTAGAGATGGGGTTTCACTGTGTTGGCCAGGTTGGTTTTAAACTCCTGGCCTCAAGTGATCTGCCTGCCTCGACCTCCCAAAGTACTAGGATTACGGGCGTGAGCCACCTCACCCAGCCATCATTTTGTATTTTTAGTAGAGGCAGGGTTTCACCTTGTTGGCCAGGCTGGTCTTGAACTCCTGACCTCAGGTGATCTGCTCGCCTTTGCCTCCCAAAGTGCTGGGATTATAGGCATGAGCCACCAAGCCTAGCCAATTTTCTACTTGTAAGGCAATTTAGAGGGGCTTAGAGTCACAGAGATCTTAGTGGGAATTTGGTAGCTATGTGATCTTGACAAATGTATTTAACTCATCTGAGTCTTGTGTCTCTAATTTGGAAAATGTATTAAATATCTACTCATAGCATTATTATTTGGCTGGAGTGAAATAATGCTGCAGTGATAAACATGTAGTACATACTCAATGAATATTAGCTGTTATTATTACCTCCCTTATCCTTTCTTCCAAATAGGTCTTTGTGACGAGTCAACCATGAGTTAGTTCCCAACTCAAAATAAGTGAAGCAGAAGGCCGGGCGCGGTGGCTCAAGCCTGTAATCCCAGCACTTTGGGAGGCCGAGGTGGGTGGATCACGAGGTCAAGAGATCGAGACCATCCTGGTCAACATGGTGAAACCCCGTCTCTACTAAAAATACAAAAAATAAGCTGGGCATGGTGGCGCGTGCCTGTAATCCCAGCTACTCAGGAGGCTGAGGCAGGAGAATTGCCTGAACCCGGGAGGCGGAGGTTGCGGTGAGCCGAGATCGCGCCATTGCACTCCAGCCTGGGCAACAAGAGCGAAACTCCGTCTCAAAAAAAAAAAAAAAAAAAAAAAAAAAAAAAAAAAAAAAGTGAAGCAGAAACTGGGACTTAGGAGTGGAACTGGCATTAAATTGGAAAGCGGGAAACTTGTCTCCTGGCTTTGTTGCCCTTTCTCTACCCAGCAACTATGTAATCTTGGTCAAGTCACCTTATTTGCCTGGACTTCCAATTTCATAATTAAGAGCATTGACAGAATTGATCTTTAAAGCCTCTAGGATTCTCTGGAATCCATACATCTGAGATTAAGATTATGTCGAGGCATTATTACTCTTGGCTTGATTGTTTTTTAAACAAATTAACGTGAGGTGGTTGGAAAATGCATTCATTATTTACTCATTTTAGAATTACACATTGTTTATTTATTTGAAACTGAACTATACTTCCTCCAAACATGACAGAAACTTGGTTAAAGGCTGCGAAAGACTCAAACTCGCCACCTAGCGGCGAAGAAAGGAAGTTTCAGGTGACACAAGATGTCCCGCTATCACCCGCGAAGGATGGTTGTCCATAGCCATTTTTTATCTTGTATTAAGTCCTCTCCCCTCATCACTCAAGACATTATTATGTATTATGTACCCGGAAACTCAATACTTCCTAGCGTGCTCATTTGACAGTACTTCCCCCCATCCCCAGACGGAGTCTCGTCGTGTGGTCCAGTCTGGAGTGCAATGGCACGATCTCGGCTCACTGCAACCTCCGCCTCCCGGGTTCAAGCGATTCTCCTGCCTCACCCTCCTGAGCAGCTGGGACTACAGGCACCCGCCACCACGCCCAGCTAATTTTATTTTTCATTATTTTTATTTTTTTTAAGACGGGGTTTCACCATGTTGGTCAGGCTGGTCTTGAACTCCTGACCTCAGGTGATCCGCCCGCCTTGGCCTCCAAAGTGCCTGGTTTACAGGCGTGAGCCACCACGCCCGGCCTTTTTTTTTTTTTTTTTTTTGGATAGTTTTAGTAGAGACGGGGGTTTCACCATATTGGTCAGGCGGGTCTCGAACTGCTGACCTTGTGATCCGTTCTCCTAGGCCTCCCAAAGTCCTGGGATTAGAGGCGTGAGCCACCACACCTGGCCGACAGTACTCAAGCCAATGAAGTATTGCGGACGTTTGAGAATTGGGGAAAGATCAATTATATTAAAATTGGCGAGGTGGGGTAGGAGTGAGAGGAGGGGAAGGTGCCTTCCGACCTTTACATTTGCATTTCAAGCCACCCGTACCCGAGGCCCACCCAGTCCATCTGTGTATGGGTAGATAAGCGATTCTGCCATTTCCACCAGTGGCTGGTACAGAGAACCAGAACCACCACCTTTGAGAAGACCTAAATCAATACACCAATTGGATTCCTGATGTCAAGTATTTAACGACTTCGCTTTACTTACCACAGTAATTAAAATTAAGTCTTCAAACTTAAATTTAAATTTCTAAAAGCAGGAATGCACTGTCCTTAATCTTAAACACCAAAGGTGGGGGGGATGAGGACAGAGTCCTAGAGTACTAGGCCTACTGGTATAGGGCGAACTCTTCTGCTTTTTTTTTTCTACCCCACTTCTTTTCCCTGTCTCCTTTCGTTCCCCTTTCTTCTCTCTTCTCGTTCTCTTCGAGGTAACAGTCACAAATTAACACCGGCATTACGTTTAAATGACACAGATAGTGCTCTGTGCAGTGTGATTCAATTATTCCAAGAGGTTTGGTCATCGAAAATATTTCTCTTTCAGCCCTTTGCTGAAACCTGAAATTAAAGCACTTCCAATAGCCTGCTTTAAGTATTCCCAATTAAGTCTGTTTTTTTGAAATATTAAAATCATTCTCACTTGGGCGCAATATTCCGAAATTCCTTGAGAATTTCGCCTACGAGCAGTCTTGCTAGTAGAAACCTATATATTTTTTTAATTTAAAACGCTTGATTTCCACTTTTTACTGCGTTTCCCAATGTTGGCGGTCTCCGAATGACTTAATAACGTGTATCCCTTTCACCTTTGAAAAACTTAGAGCTCAGTGCCTCCACCGGCATCCGGGCATTTATCCTTATTTCAGCTTCTTAAGCAGGCTCTGGGGAGGAGCAGTTTCGACCGAGAAGTTCAGAGCAGCAGTTACTACGGAATTTGCAACAGTTGGTGCCAAGCGATAGGCAGGTTGGAAGTGATAAATGGGCCTGGCGTAAAAAACAAAAAGCCCCGGGGAGGGCGGAGGCAGCCGTGGCCTTGGGGGAGTGTGCGAGGGCGGCGCGGGGCCGGCGGGGCCGAGCTTCGGCCGTGGGAAGGCGCCGTCCCGGGCGGCCAGAGACGACGGCCGCCGCGGAGTAGGGGAGTAGGACTGCGGGACGGCAGCCCGGCGGGCGGTGGGCGGCGCGCGGCGCGCGGGGCGGGCGCGCGGGGCGGGCGCGCGGGCCCAGGCCGCCCCGGGGCCACGCCGGGGCCACGGCGAGGTGAGGCCGGCCCTGCCCCCGCACCGCCCCCGGCGGGAGGCGCGACGCCCGGGCCGCGGGTGCGTGCGCGGCCCCGGGCGACGCGGCTGGGCGTGCGCGGGGCCGCGGCGGAGGCAGGGCCGGGCGGGCGGCAGAAGATGGCGAGGGTGTGTAGGCGGCAGCAATGCTCCGTTGAGAGACGCGGCTTTCGGCAAGAACTGGATTCGTGGCGCCACAAGCTCATTCACTGTGTAGGTGAGACCCTCCGCCGGCCGCCGCGGGCCCTCAGGCCACCCCTCCGCTGGCCGCCCCGGACCAGGGAGGGAGCCGGGGAAGTGGCAATTGCTGCTCCGGCCCGCCCGCCCTCTTGGGCTGGAGCGTCCCCCTCCCCCACCCCCCGGAGTGCGAGCGCGCGCGACCTCCAGGCGGGCTGCCCCGCTCTGCCGAGCGCGCGCCGGCCCCTCCCCTCCGCGCGCCTCCCCGGGGCGGGCTCTCGGCGGGAGCGCGTGTTCCTCCCCCTCCCGCTCCTCCTCCCCGCCCACTCGCTCCCTCCTCCCGGCTCCCACCCCAGCTCCTGCTCCCGATCCCGCTCCCGCTCCGGGCCCGGCGCCCTGGCGCCGCTACGGGCTTATTGTGGCGACTCGCCCCGCGGCGCTGCCTCTGCACTGAGGGTGGCGCCAGGGGCGCGGGCGTGCTCAGCCCCCACCCGCGCTCCGGCCGCCCCCGTCCTCCTCCCGCGACACCCCTCCCCCACGCGCGGGGCGCGCCCCTAGCTCTGCGTGCACGCGCGGCGGGCGGCAGGCGGGCGCCCGGCGCTCGGGCGTGTGCGAAGCGTGAGGTGGAGATGGGGGCGGAGGGAGCCAGAGCTGTCACAGTCCCCGGGTGCGCCTGACCGAGCCGAGTGGGGTGTCATGGCCGCGGGGGGCAGCGGCTGCACTTCCTCTGCGGGCGGCGGCGGCCGGGGAGTTAATCCTCGACGCACGGGTCGGTGTGTGCGTATTTGTGTTCGGTGTCGTGCGGCGGGGAGGAGGGGGTGGGACCGGGTCCGAACGAGGCGCCCCGGCGGGGGTCGTTCTCGTTCCCTCCCGGGGATTGGCCGGAGCCGCAGCCTCTCCCGTTGCCCTGTCCGCCCCCAGCCTCCCGGACCTTGGGCCGCCCGCGGGCGGCTTTTCCCTGCGGGCCGGAGGGAGCGCGGACTGGGGCGCTCCGGGAGGGGCCGGGCGGCCGAGCTGCGCCTCTCACACTGTGTGTTTTGTCTGTTTTTCTCTCCCAAGGTCCCGTTTCCCTCTGTGCGGCGGCCGGCGGGACCATAAGGGCTTAACTCATATATTTAACCCCCCTCCAAAAAGTAAGTGGCCCGTGTGGTGTCTCCGCTCCGCCCGCCGCCCCCTAGCCCCAGTCCATCCTTGTGTCTGACTCTCCTGTCCTCCAGCATTGTTACTTCCCGGTCTTTGCTTCGGTGCTGCTGGTGTGTGGGGAGATGCCCTCTCGTCGTCCTCTGTCCCCCACGCCCAGTCCTCGGGGAGGCACAGAATTCCAGCCCCTTTTCCCCCAGGGCAATATTCTTGGGAACCAGGTCTTCCCCGGCAGAACCTATGAGATTCTATCCGTTCGCTTGGGCCCCTCATCCCCTCCTTCCCGACAGGGTTTCGTTGGAAGGAATTATGCAAATCCTGCTTTCTGGTGTCCATTCAGCGGCAATTTCATGCGGTGAGAAGTTCTCTTTGTTGTGCGAGGGGGAGAACAGACACTGATTTAATAGACATATCTGTTGGGGGGAAGGGTGGAGGGGGTGTGGAGAGGCTCAGTTTGGAAGAATTACAGCACTTGGTTAGCTCAGTGTCTTTGTGTTTAAGCCTTCTGGCTTGACAGGAGGGTCTGCCCTTTACAATGTCCCACAAGAGATGTTTTTGATAATAGATTAAAAAGCAAAACTGAAACTTTAAACAAGTGAAAAATCAAATAACCTTTACTTAAAGAATATAAGCCTTTCCATTTCTGCAGCTTTTCATTACGAAAATGTATAACGTGAGTTTTGTTAAGGATTTAGACTGTAACAGCATAATTATACAGGCAACAATGCTTTAAGGTATCTGATATCACTTTGGTTGTCCAAAGGTTAAAAGTACATTTTCACACATATGCTTGTGCAAATAATAAAGGCATGAGTCAGTTTTTTGGTATAATTCGTCTCATGAGTATATTTTAAAATTCCCCTCCTGCCAATCCAAGACCAGTGCTGCCCTCCAGAAAACAGTCTTTTGGCTATCGGTTATCCTGTACTCTGCTCTATCTCCGCTTGTTTCATTCTTTCAAACCTATTATACATTTACTAAAATGTTACGTCAGTTTAAGTACTTTTTGAATTACATGTTATTTCGGACCATCGTAGAAGAGAGCATATAGCAGGTTTTGAGAAGCTTGAAATTAATGGGTTTTTAGAATTGTGGGTTAATACAAAATGCCGGAATTGTTTTGAAGAATTTTTAGTTCTTGTATGTTTTGCGTTTCTTCGTGATTGGCTTTTTCAGCAGAGCTTTTTCGTCTTTTAAAGCTTTTGAAATTTACAGTGTCCTATCCTGTGAATTTTCTAAGTTCATGTTGCTATAGTTTAGATGGTTTTAATTAGTTGTGTATCTCATTCTAATTGTTTGCTTTTAATATTGACCTCCTGCCTCAGGACCCCATTTTATCAGTCATTTGCTAGTTAGTGGTTAGTTACTGCTGCTTGACAAGATGTGTCTTTGTTTTTATTTTTTTATTTTTTTGAGACGGCGCTCTGTCACTCATGCTGGAGTGCAGTGGCGTGATCTCTGCTCACTGCAACCTCTGCCTCCCGGGTTCAGGCGATTCTTCTGCCTCAGCTTCCCAAGTAGCTGGGACTACAGGTGTGTGCGACCATGCCTGGCTAATTTTTATATTTGTAGTAGAGACTGGGTTTCACCATTTTGGCCAGGCTGATCTCGAACTCCTGAGCTGGCGATCCTCCCACCTGGGCCTCCCAAAGTGTCAGATTACAGGCGTGAGCCACTGTGCCTGGCTGTCTTTTTGATTTTTAACATTATGACTGATAAATTATTTCTGTAAATATCTCAGTGGAATATCAAAATTTGGGTTCACTTTTTAAAGGCAGATTTTAATCTGATGATCAAATTTCTTAAAGCATACTTTAAACTCCAAATTTCCACTTTATAAGGTAGTAAAGTTCAGAAGATTATATAGAGTCCAGAGTGCAGAGCAATGTTTTAATCTCAGCAGTAACTTATATTCGTAGTCTCCCAACCAAAATCAGTGGAGCCTCATGTTTTCTCTTTTATTATGTGTAATTTTGTTCTTTAAGAGGAGCATTCTAAGTAAATTAATTGTAGTGTTAAGAACTTTTTATAAGAACTGGCAGTGATCCATATACCTTTCAAAAGGTAACTTGTTTATACTTCCAGATGTAATAATTCCTCATTTAGTGGGTTTGGTTTCTAAACAGTTAACCTATTTGATTCTCTTGACTGATTGTCTTAATACTTTTGGGTCATTTGGTTTCTGAAAAGTATTTAATTTACAGAACTTTGGATTAAAAATTAATTCTTAGTCATTTCTAAAATCGAATTCTGCCGTCTGTTAATAGTTTTTTGGAGAGCAGGTGGTGGTGGTGGCAGTGGTGGCGGTGGTGGTGGTGGCGGTGGCGGCGGCAGCAGCAGGGGTGGTGAAGTTGGTGCTTAAATGATTAGGTTTAGTTAAATTGGAGTTAGTCCTGGGTTCAGACAGTGACTGTGATCAAGGTGGATATTTGGTTACCAGGTGATTATTAAGGAGTCCTCTGAGACTAAGATGATCGGTCTAGATTCCAGGAAGATCTAGGCTCTCTCTGTGCCTGATATGATGTAGCGCCTGATATGATGTAACCTATTGCTCCGGTGTACTTTGCCCTTGCCTTATTTTCAAGAAGCTCTTCCTAATGTGGGCAAGGTTGTGGTGATTTCAGCTTAGCTCTAGCTTGGCTAAATATAGGACAGCAGATGAGTCTCTTTGACTTTCAGAAAGTTATTTCAGATTGCCCTAATTTCCTCAAATGTGCTTGTAGCTGGAGCAATTCTAGGAAGTGTTTGAATAATGCCATATTTTTAGTCTTATGGGACTACACAGGATGACCTGGAATTTCTTATGTAGTGATAATTGGTTATTTGATGCCACTTTTATTTTTAGTTAAATTTCTTTGTAGAGACAGGATTTGACTGTGTTGTCTAGGCTGGTCTCAAACTCCTGGCCTCAAGGTATCCTCCTGTCTCAGCCTCCCAAAGTACTAGGATTATAGGTGTTAGCCACCTGCTTGTTGGAACTTGCCCCTTCAGAGTACCTGCCTAATCACTTGATGCTGTCTTGAGGATGAAGCGCAGTTTGGTGTTTACTTCATTTAAATAAGCATCTGTCTTTTACCAGGCAGTGTGGACAAAGTTACTGGGAAAGCTTCCCCAACCTTCAGGAACTTTTCAACTTTAGAGAAAATGTAATATATTCAGTTATTGTGCATGACATAGTGTGACATATCATGGTGCTAGGGGTGTTTAGACGTGAAAGAAATCTCTCCTGAGATGATGGTGGAAGATTTCATGAATAAGGTGGTAGATTTTTGCTTAATTCTGATGAGTAAGGAAACAGCATTTCATTCATGAGAAATGGCATGAGCAAAAAAGGACAGCAGTGTTGTCAGTTTAAATAGTAGTTCGTGATTAGTGTAAGAGACATACACATGATAGGTTTGCAAAGGTAGGTTGTAGGATTTTCTAATGCAGGTTAGAAAGTGGAGACTTTTTGTTAGGCAACTTGCAGTTTGTAATACATGTCTTTCCTTAGCTCAGGGGAGGAATGTTTCCTTTAGCTAAGAATTTCATTGTGGAACTCTACAAAAATGACACAGATTCCTTTTTAAACCACTTTTACAGGACAATATTATCCACAGAAGTATTATTTTCTAAGCAAGCTCATTTGGAGGCCATACCTTCCAATGCTTTTACAAATCTGTTTTTGGAATACCTTTAGGATTGATAAATTTCCATCCTTGGAAGTTGGATTTGGTATATTGGAAAGCGTTATTTACTGTGAAGTGTGGCAGATTAAGGTGTATATTAAATAATGGATAGGTTTTCTTCCCTGGTTTGCACACTAGCTTGGAATGCTCAGCAGAGGGATTTGATTTGTTTCTATGTGACTCTGAACCTCTCTCTCTCTTTTTTTTTTTTTTTTTGAGACGGAGTTTCACTCTTGTTACCCAGGCTGGAGTGCAATGGCGCGATCTCAGCTCACCGCAACCTCCGCCTCCTGGGTTCAGGCAATTTTCCTGCCTCAACCTCCTGAGTAGCTAGGATTACAGGCATGTGCCACCATGCCCAGCTACTTTTTTGTATTTTTAGTAGGGACGGGGTTTCACCACGTTGACCAGGATGGTCTTGATCTCTTGACCTCGTGATCCACCCGCCTCGGCCTCCCAAAGTGCTGGGATTACAGGCTTGAGCCACCGCGCCTGGCTGAACCTCTCTCTTGATTCGTATTTCCTTTAAGTCTGTCCATCTGTTGTATGGAATCTCAGTTTGTGATATTGGATAGATGCAAATAAGCAAAGCTGTTATTTTTCATAGTTGCAAATGAAAAACTTAACATCACTACTGTATAAATTATCTTCTAGTCTGTGTTTATTTTTAAGTTCTTTTTACTATTCCATACACTTGAATGTTGTTTTGGAAATCCAGTATAAACCATTAGCTCATTTTATTGACCATTCTTGTATTCGGCAGGAATCCTGAGTACAGTGGTCCATGCCTTGAATTTTTTTTTCACTTTCAATATAATTATAATTCAAATAAACAAAAAAATAAAAAAAATTGTTATGGTATGTGAATTATAATTTTTTTATCCGAATACTAGGTTGTGTATATATCATCACTGTCCAATTCCAGAATATTTTTATTTTTTTCAGTGATGAGGTCTTGCCATGTTGCTCAGGCTGGTCTTGAAGTCCTGGGCTCAAGTGATCCTCCTGCCTCAGTCTCCCAAAGTCCTCGGATTACAGGTGTGCGCCACCGCACCCACCCTCAGAACATTTTCATTTCCTAAAAAAGAAACCCCATATCCATAGGCAGTCCCACATTCCATTCCTCCTATGACCCAGCTCTTGGCAGTTACTAATCTACTTCTGTTTCTGTGGGTTTGTTTATTCTGGACATTGCATGTAATCGGAGTCATACAATGTATGGCTTTTTATGTTTGGCTGGTTTCACTTAGCATAATGCTTTTAAGGTTCATCCATGTTGTACCATTATTAGCACTTTGTTTCTTTTATGGCTAAATAATACTTCA